TAGTATTAGCGAGTTGGTTTAGCGATACCCCACTCCCTTTACTGACGGCTTTTAGTGTCCTACTCAGTATAACAAAGCAGTCTTACTTAGGAAAAATTAAGGGGGAACAGTAAAGAAGTACAGGTAGAATACTAGAATTACTAAACGGTAACAGTAGAGACGGAATAATAATAATAATGGCTTTATTCCAAACAGTATTTGTGGTACAGGTATGGAATTTTCAGCGTTCATTACAATATTGCATCTAATTACCTCATAAATTTTATAAGATTTTAAAACCAAAAAGCAACAACAACAAAAAGAAAAAAGAGAAATAAAAGAAATAAAAAAGAACAGCATTGCATTCACATATTTAAACAATGCACCACAGGATATGATATATAAAATTAGTCTGTAATAGAATATATGAGCAACAATATAATAGTAACAAAGAAAGGAGAACAAAAGCTAATGGGAACTATTTGTTAGAGCGCCGCAGTAAATTGATCGTGTCATGCCTAACAGTTTTCTCATCACATAACAGCTGTGCCAGATAAGGTATTGTGGAGTTTCTGTACTTGGTAGTCCTGGCATATAGCCTCCTATAGTTGCTTCTAGTTCTACCAGATGAAATGCAAGGAGAGAGCTGCGTATGAAGAGGGTGTTCGGGGTCTGACAATATAGAATTCTCTAGTTTCTTACATGAAATTATATGTCTATCCACAATAGTGTTAACCAGTTGGTTTAACGAAATCCCACTTCCCCTACTAACAGCTTTTAGTGCCCTACGCAGCGAAGCAAAGTCTTTCTTAAGTAGTCCAGGGAAGATTATTGGGGAGCAGTAAAGAGGGATGGGTAGAATACAGGAATTGACAAACTGAGAAAGCAAAGACTGCTTTATACCAGACTGCCTAAACTTCCTAACGTAGAACGTTAAGCGAAACATCTTTCTAGTAACTAGCAAGACGTGAGAGGACCAGGAAAGATCGGAAGAAACACTCAGTCCAAGGTACTTGACATTAGATGCAGTTTCAACCTCTATGCTGTCAATGATAGTGGGACCATGTGAGCTAGCTAGTTGTTGTAGGTAACTTTTTCGTCTGAAAGTAAAATTTACTACCTGGCATTTAGACGGATTCAACTTAAGACCGTTTGAAGAGGACCACTGACTAATTTCCGAGAGAAAGTTATTTAATATGGAATGACACCAGTTCGTCTTAACTTCCTTACATAGAACGTCAAATGAAATATCTCTCTAGAAACTAACATGATTGGGAGAGGGGGAAAGCCAGGATAGGTGATCAGCGGAAATACGCAGTCCAAGGTATTTAACATTTAACATTCAACTTCAATGCCATCTATGATAATGGAACCGTGCGAACTAAACAGTTCACGTAAGTCTCACTGGCATTTGAAGATGAAATTAACCACCTGACATTTAGAGGGATTCAGCTCAGGACCATTTGAGAACGAGCACTGACTAATTTCTGATAAAAGAAAAGTTATTCACTCTGGAACAGTCTGACTGTGAAGTAACAGGCATAGAAACAGTCAGATGGATCATCGGCATACTTAACAAAATTGGCCTCATGTACGAAGAAGAAAAACAAAAAAGGAGAAAGAACAACGACTCCCTGAGGAATACCAGCCAGAGTATATGAAGTAGTAGTGGAGGACTTCGTATTGTAAACAATGTACTACTTCCTATCAGAAAAATAGGAATGCAGTCATTTGGAAATCCAGCACTGTGCTTATTTAACAAAAGAGGCCTAGGTACGGAGTCAAAGGTAGATGTGCAATCTCGGAAGATACACCGAAAATATCTGCCGCCTATATATATAAGTTAGAGGCAATATTATGATCTAAGACGACAGTGACATCTAAAGTACACCTTCTATGTGTAAAAGCAAATTTATCAGAGTCGTTAAAAGCCTTCAATGAAGATTCAAGGTTAAGTGAAATCAGTTTTCCCATTATTTTTTAAGAAAGGTGAAGTAATGGCAACAGGGTCTGAACTTAACACTTGGTTCACTTGATGATTTAGGCACAGGAACAATTTTAATATCTTTCCAAGAAGAGGGCACAATGTTAGTAGAAAAAGATTCACTGAAAATACCAATGAGAGGATAAGATAAAATGTCACCATCTGGACCAAGGGACTGGGTAGGTTTTAAGGATTTAAGACACCTGACGACATCGTTTGTACTAAAATCGGAGAGGCAGTCATTGTTTGCACTTGTAGCATTTCAGATCCTTCAAGGCTGTTTGCTTATTGTGAAGAAGAAGATGAACTTTGTATCTCTGTACGTCACCTTCTCGGTGTATGCTATTTTTCATTGAAAAGTCAAAGACATGCTCTCACTGCTGACCGCCGCTTTAATGTGTGAAACTATAATACTACTGACTGTTTTGGGTGAGTAGTTGTTTAGAAAACAATTCACGTCAGTGTTCACGTCCTGAATCAGGATCATGAGAAAAAAACCAATAACAAAGCTTAACCTTGAGGAGCTCACCAACCAATCACAGCACACTTAGCGTGTGCGAATACGATTCGCAGATATATGGCTTAACTCTCTAGGAAACAGAATGACCTTCACGGAGAAAACAACCAATCAGAAAAGTTTACTTCTCCGTTAAAAGTAACATTAATAATAATGCATATAAAAATCTATAAATACCTCTTGATTTTCTCAAAAAACAATCTGTTACCTGACCCCTGTCTTCTGTCAGTACAGTCGTATACCACTCACTCATATCAACCAGTGGTATTTGCCATCTAGTCAGGAAGCCACTTCACTCAATTACTACTGAGCTCATCACCGATGTACCTCGTTTCACTCAGCTCAGATAGCTAAATTGTTTCAAAATACCCAATTTCTGGATAGATGCTCTTTCGGCAAACTGGCGACACCATAATTTAGATTAACGGTTTGCAAATTATGATGTAGTTTTGTTCTCTGAGTTAGCTGGATGGTTTATTTGAAAAGCTTTCATTGCCCTGCTAGGCAACATCTTCACCGCATACTTCAATTTGATGATGTGAGCTTTTAGATTTCTCCGCAAGTTTATAGGTCATCTCTCCTGGTGGGTGACTTTGGTTGCTTTCGTGCGTTTTCAAACCCCCTTTGCTACTTGTATTGGAGCTGATTGTTTCTTTGACTTGAAGTTTGACCCTTTGTGTGTGAGATCTCCTTCTTATCGATTGGTAAACTTTGTCGATGTCAGTCTGTCTATTAATCGACGATTCACTGGAATATCAGGCAGTCTTCTAAAAATTCTCTGGCACTCTTGTTGGTTCCTCTGTCTAATATTTGAACGCTGGTTGTCCCAGTCGAAATGATGTCCGTGGTTGTCTGTGTGCAGCGATACAATCGAGTGGGTCTTTTGAAAGCTAGTTTATGCCCATGGATACGAAGATTAAGGGGACGCGAATGAACTATCTAGCTCAGTGAACACAACTACATCAAAAACAGTTATGTAATGTGAATAATTTGGTTTTTATTAAAGGAAACTGTGGTAAAAACTTCACTCTCTCGAACCATGCACCTAGTTATATCTCTCGTGTGAAGTGGTATAATAGGGTGAGCAATATTGAGGTCAGGCATCTACCGAGTGCTAGGTAAGGAGGAGGGGAAATCAATCGCCGAGGCTGTGAAGTTACATCGATTGAGATGGTTAGGACATATGTTACGTAGGCATGCCTAGCCATCGACTTCCTTGGGTGACGGGCAATGTTAACTGAACATATGGCGGTGGTCAAACCAGTGAAATCCATAACAGTTAGCTTAAGCTGTGTAAGAAGATGTAGACTTCCTGACTGGCTGGTTGGGATGGTAAAAACCAATGGTGGCTGGAGACAATCGGTGATATGGCTGGCTCAAAATCTTTCTCAATGGCGTAGATGTATCCACTCCTAGTGACTTATAATATCCAATAAAACTAAATGTTTCTTCGATATTACTATTCTTTTTGCCTCATATCCCTGTACACTGTCTCTATTTTGCATTTCTTTTTACTTTCTCCTCTTGCTTTGTGCTCTAAGTGAAGTGTGGCGACTCGGATTGTTGCACATTTGTGCCAAGTTCCATGTTGAAACCAGTCAGTCAGCCAGTCAGTGTACTTGGTAAGCTGTTAATTAATCCGACTTCAATGTGTATTTTGATGTAGTTGCATTCTCTGATCTGGTCGGATTAGTTGTGAAGCTTTCATTGTCCTTCTGTACCACGTCTTATACTTTTCAACGATTAGTTTGTAGTGATTCTATTTGTTTTAGGTTGGAACGTGGATTGATATCAGTTAGAGAACCATTGAAAACCAGGGAGTTTGGGACTCATCAACAGTACGCACCCAATGCAATGGGGTTCGAACCCATGATATGCCGGTTTCAAGGCAAGCTCATATACCATTCAGCCAATGGAACCCGATTTAATGGCCAACCCATGAATTCTTAACTCAGCCGGTTTGTGATTTCAGCACGACTGACACCAACTAAAGTGATTGGTGGAAACTCCATTCTCACTTTCAACTGGATGGACCTCACTGTTCACAACTTCTAATTAAAACTCCAAGAAACCCCGCCCTGTAGCCAGTCACTAGGGAGCATCAGGGCTGAATGATATACGAACGGGTGAGTTCGAAACCCTGTGGGTGCGTACTTCCAACGAGTCACAAACTAGGACGAAATAGCTATCCAGTACTCTCTGGTGGTTTTCAACGTTTCTCTAACTGATATAAATCCGTGGTCTAACATGAAACATCTTATACCTCACTAGGATGGTTGTGAGATCTTTGAGGGGGTAGGGGAAAGGTTAGGCGTGGGTGAAGCTGGAAATCCCACTCCTTTAAAACACTACCACCACCGCCGATGATGCTGAAACTTCAGTACTCGAGCTAGAAGCGTTATTAGTTCCAGTCGGAACGCAAAATCGATATAAGGAAAGAGGAAAAAGCAGTAAGCAGCAATGCTGTTGCTAACTCACCTTTAAAGCCAATTGAATATTTCCACATATTGCCATGTCTACTTAGATTAGGCATACACCTAACTCATCGTCATCTAAGAAAAAGAAAAGTGAAGATAAGAAGTTTACGCATAAAGTTTGAATAGCATTTTATTTCATCTAAATTATTATTGAGGATAAAACTCTTTCAGTGTTAGGTGGCTGGGTGTGGGTGTGCGTGTGTGTTTAGCTTGCAGGAAGCTCAGAAATACCTAAGTTTCGTGCAATGTTAGAACTGGATGAAGCGGGTTTGAATCTCAGGAGTTATATTGCTTTTCTTCAAGACTATAGATACACCTTGCTGTGATAAGTGCTATCTAAGATGACAGATGTTATCACTAAGCTGTTCAGTCTATCGGTTAACCTCTTGTGGGACTGTAATGGAATTCCGTCTGCGTCGAAAGGAGAATTAAATGCATGAGATTAATTTCAGTCTTGTGTACAATTAAAGTAAACTTTATCGGTTTGATATATATTTACTTGTATTGAAGACTGGATTCAGGAGGAACGAGTCATGCATCGATCAAATCGCAAAACTACGGATCATCATTGAACACAGCTTGGAATGGCAGTTACCTCTCTATCTCAACTTCATTGACTTTGAAATGGCCTTTGACAGCGTCAATCGAGAGGTGTTTTGACTGCTACTTTGCTACTACGGGGTGCCATCAAGAATTATATATCTCATCCAACAGCTGTACGACAATGCTGCGTGCCAAGTAATTCACAACGGGAAACTCACGGAATCCTTCGAAGTGAGGACAGGAGTAAGACAAGCTGGCTGCCTACTGTCTACAATGATTTTCCTGATTGCGGTAGACTTAATAATGCGATGAACAGTGGACAACGAGGAAACAGGCATAAAATGGACTCACACAAAAAACTTGGAAGATCCGGACTTCGCCGATGATATATGTCTGATTTCCCACAAACTGGAAGATATGCAGGTGATGAAAAGCAACAAGTTGACAGAAAAAGCATCAAGGGAAGATATGACTTCAGGTGAACATAGTGAAAGCAGAGGTGATGAAGATTACTGACCAACAGCAACAGCAATAACAACAACAACAACAGACAACAATCAGCATTCATGGGAGAAATCTGAAAGGAGCAACCTCCTTCACCTACAGACCTACCTACGTACCTGGGAAACGTTGTTTCAACTACAGGCGCAGCGAACTGATGAGGATATCACAGCGAGGATCGGGGAAGCAAGGCAAGCTTTTGTCACTCTCATATCTGTGTGGAGATCAACACTCAGAACTCTGCATGAAAAATAAGATCCTGATTTTCAACTCCAATGTGAAGTCAGTGCTACTTAACGGGTCAGAAACTTGGCGCCGCATCACGAAGGGCACTTCAAACAAACTACAGACCTTCATCAACAGCTGTCTTCGCTCAATACTCAAGGTCAGGTGGCCGGCCAGAAAACATTAGCAACTGGGATCTCTGGGAACGATGAACCAACCAGGAACCAATTGTGAAACAAATATTCAGGAAGCAATGGAGATGGATTGGCAATACTCTGGGAAAACAAACCCTCAAGTGAGTGACATCACACGCCAGACCATTGCTCGAGTGGAATCCTAAAGGATAGCGGTAAGCTGGTCATCAGTGCGAGGGTGCTATAAAGTAGGAGGTCATGCAGAGAAGAGGAGATGAAAGCATGTGAGCAGACGTGGAGCTAGGTAAAAACGTCGGTGGAGAACCGAACACAATGGAGACGTGTGGCTGAAGCACTATGTTCCTCTAGGAACTAAAAGAAACAATAATACAATAATAATCACTTGTAATGATTAGTGAGTGAAGCCTCATGCCTCATATTAAGCTGATGTTTAGGGAGTAGAGCGAGTGAGTGAGTGAGTAAGTGAGCAAGTATCAGAATATTATTATCATGGTACATTTCGAATACTCTGGCAATTAGTACTGATAAGATCTAGGTGGTCACCCTCTTACTGCCTATGTTACTTAAGTCCGACTGATAGGAGGATAAAGCTTAAACTAGAGCTGACTTCTTAAAACATTAGCTGAAGTGGTAGACTGATTTCATTTTTCACGTCTATGATCTGTATTGTTACACTGATATGATCATTCTACTGGATAAACTTTGATAAAATACGAAATTTTAGAGTTTATACAATCAGATGGAGGATTTCATCATCAGCTGACATCAGTTAGAGAAACATTGGAAAACCAGCCAAAGAGTACTGGACAGCCATCTGTGTCGTCCTAGTTTGGGACTCTTCATCAGTACGCACCCACACCAAAGGTTTCAAACACACTACCTTCTAGTTACAAGGGGAGCTCGTAGAACATTGAGCAACTCATTGGAACCCGATCTAATGGCCCATTAATTCTAACTTCTTCCCATTCATGACATAGCGCGACCATTTCGCAATGTCTTCTTCGATGAGTTACTGCCTCACCTTCAACCTGCTTGCTGTACACTACTGGTCATGGCTTCTACCTAGAACCCCAGGTTAACTGCGTGAATAGGACCAGTCGGTGGTAAGCATCAGATCAATTTTCAAGTAATGTTTGGTTTTGTAGGGAATTTGTTTGATTGATTGGTTGGAGGATTTCATTATGAGCTGACAATTAGTCAGAGTGACTTTATATATGTCACCCAACAAATACGCTGAAAAATATCAAGCTGGATGACTTGATACACCGAGGAAACTCGTTGAGTGACACCACACTCTGACCAGGCCCTCAGGTGGAAACGATTAGTTGGGCGTCAGTTTAAAAAAAAGAGGAAATGGAGGAGATCATGTGAAAAGAGATATGAAAGCTTTTTTGTTAATCGTGGAGAAGACACTTGAAACCCAAGGGAATAATACTAATGGTGTGTCTAATAAAGTTGTAATAACCGTCTCAGGCAAAGTTTTTGTCTTCCAATGTTTTCTTGACTCAGTGAAGCATAAGACGTATGTGAAGGTGAACAGTAACATTCTGTTTTCAGTTGACTTGCTCATTGCGCTTCAGTATCACTGTACCCATGTATTAATTCACCCTCGTAAACGACCTAGTACGGCTGAGGGTGCGTAGACTTCACGCTTGAGATGCTCTCTAGTGGCCCTACGCCTATAGCCTCCCACAGGTGAGTCCTATTTACTTCCTTCACGTTACGGTGGGAGTGTTCCTTAAAAAAGTAAAAGGGTGAGTGTAAACATCTGACGCCTTCAGCTGGATTGGTGGACGTGCAGTCTATCCAGGGGTGTTAGAAAGCCTTAATTCCAAACCTATATTGTACATGGGCTTTAGAATCTGAACGAATCGAATGACATGCGCACATGTTTGGGTCACAGGAAATCATGGGAGTGCAGTTTCTGACACTGATTCACTACTCTGTGGGCCAGACTTCAAGTCAAAGGCTCTGGAGGGGGCGTTCTATGTTCTGTGTTAAGCAGTATAGTATTATGAGTAATAGTCAAGTTAGACGTAGAGTATTAGGTAAGAAGGGTGAATCAGTTGATGAGGCTATGAAACTAAATCGATTGAGATAGTTAGGACACATGTTGCAAATGCCAAGACATCGCCTTTCTCGACTGGCAATCTTAGCTTACATTGTAGCATTAGGATGGAAAAGTGTCAGTGGTGGCATCAGTCTAATTAGTCTTTGAAAGTCACTCCGAGCCATCTATTCTGATAAAGTTGTAGAATGTCCAGTTGGGGAACTCTAGATGCTAAGTATCAATGACTTCAAACTATTGGTGATATGGCTCAAAATCATTCTCAGTGGTGCGTAAACATTCACACATTTTTTGATCTCCTACAACGACTAAACCTTCATGTTCTTCCACACTACTATTCTTTATCTCGTACATTTGTGCTCAGTATAGTTCCTTTGAACCTTTTTTTTCTCTATTTCATCTACATCACGTACTAGACTGAGTGTGACAACTTGAACTGCTACACTTCTCAGCAATGTTCTATGTTAAAATTCAGACTCAGTTAGTACAACTACTTGTTTTGTGGAATAAGATGCCTTCTTGAATCCGGTTGGTCATGTCACTTTATGCGGTAAGAAATATCCATAATTTCCTTTGGGAAAACTAAATTTTCAAGTATTGGTTTTGTAGCGAATTATGCTTGATTGGTTGGTTGGAGGATCTTATCATCATCTGAGATCAGTTAGAGGATCATTGGAAAACCAGCAACAGGGAGTACTGGTCAGCTGTTTCCCCCGGCCTAGTTTGGGACTCTTCAGCAGTACGCGCCCACTCCACTGAGGTTCGAACGCATGACTTTCTGGTTACAAGGTGAGCTAGCTCGTAGACCATTAAGTCACCGAGACCCGATCCAGTCGCCAGTCCATGAATTCCAGCTTCTGCCAATTGACGACATAGTGCGATCACTTCTCAACGTATTCTTTGACGAGTTACTGCCTCACCTACAACCTGCTGTACTCTACTGGTCACAAGGTCCCATTAGAATTCTAGGTAACTAACTTCCTGAATAGAACCAGTCGCTAGTCCAACCTCGGTGAGTGTGTACTGATGAAGCAGAATCCCAAACTAGGCTGACAAAACAACTGGCTGTCCAGTACTCCCTGCAGGTTTTCCAATAGTTTTCTAACTGATATCAGCTCATTATGAAATCCCCCAAACAATCAAACAAAATTTCGTTCAGATAACAAAGTATATAATAATCCTGATATCCTACTTCATATGGCAATGAAGAAAGCAAGCGAAACCGGCCGCATGGTATGAAATACTACTGATTGTTCGATATGAGTAGTATGCGAATACTGACGTCAATCAGTAGTGCTTGCTAGTCAGTGGCCGAAGTGATCTTTGCTCCAGTTTAGCTAATAAAACTACTAAAATTTCAGATGAATTGCTTAAAACTATTGATATCAGTAAATTAGTAGTACGTTTATACTTACCATTATTATTATTGTTATTATTATTATTATGCCCATTCATTTTAGATTGATCAATTTGAATTGTTTGTTCTTCAGACGACATACTCTCATTAGACTGAAAAAAACAAAACAAAAGTTTTAGAAGAAAAAACATGTATTGAATGAACCTGATTTGAAGAGAATTTTTAGTACAGGTTTTGTGGTGAGATCTGGCTGCAAGCCAAAAATTGTAGACAGCAGTTTTCGTCAGTGTTACGTCCTGAATCAACGTCATGAGAAAAAAAACAATAACAAAGCTTAACCTTGAGGAACTCAACAGCCAATCACAGCAGACTTAACCAGTGCAAATACGATTCGCAGATATGTGGCTTAATTTTCTAAGAAACAGTCGCAAAGAGATGACAGAATGACCTTCAGCAAGAAAACAACCAATCGGAACGCTTTGTTTCTTTTTGCTATCAATAATGCTAATAATAATGTACATAAAAATCTATAAATAACTGTTGGTTTTCTCAATAGAGGATCTGTTGCCTGACCCTTGTCTTCTGTCGTTACAGTGTTAGTATATAACAACAGATCAGGTGGATATGGAGAATTCCAACATTATGAAATACTCTGAGGCTGAATGCTTCAATGGTAGCCTCTCCGACTACATCTACTGGTGACACATCCTCGAGGTTACAGATACACCTAGCTGATGAGTGGTGACAAGCACGAAACCGGGGTCCAGGGTCTCCCATAGATTGCTTTCAACCCCCTTCCTCCAAAGATGGTGACCCATCTACCTTATTGGTGACGCTATAGAAAACTCGACTGACACATTCAGGACGTTAGCAACACCAATGCTTAGAAACATGAAATCTATCACCATCTAGTTCCCAGTGGGAGTAGAGTAGAACTCAATATTAGACGTGTTTATCTCATATAATACACAGTGATACAGTGTAATCAGATATAGAAACCATTTTTAATTAATGTTACATATTTGTATTCTCCACTGAATGATAAACAAAACGAAATTGTTGTTTTTACTGACATTCTGCTCTATTTCAGGCTGCTAATAGCCTTTATCAAATTAGTAATAGTTATCAATAATTTACAGTTTGCAACACGGACCATATTTATTACATCGGATATTAACTCCACTTTCAAACTTGGTCATGAAATGACTTTAACTGGAGGAGCATTGAAAACCGCCAAGGAGTACTGGACAACTGCTTCCTCTTCGACTAGACTAGTACCTATGGGCAGTAGTAGAGACAGCTAAACAGAAGTATAGAGAACAGGGTCAAAGGGAGATGTGTAACTGTTGAAGCCCTATGTTCCTCTTCGAACCCAAGGGAATAATAATCACAGAATTAGTAAAATCACAATAACTTACTTGGCTATTATCATTATTATTATTATTATCACTAATAATATTGTCATTATTTCCATTGCAGATATCATTCTTTATGTTACTTTTCACAATAATATGGTGTACATGATCGTCAGCAGATTTCGACACCGTTTTACCATTGACTTCTTGATCGCTTCCATTAGCTTCTTTTCCAGCCGGTTTATTGTTTATAAGTGACAGAGGAGGTAGCGGTGGCTTAGGCATTCTTCCCTTGTCAACTTGTCCAACTGTGGCTTGTCTATCTATACATTTCTGAGCATTTTCTTCAACATAATGCCCATTATTATTATTATTATTATTATTATTATTATTATTAATATTTATTGTGTATTTATTAGGCTTTAAAGAATTCTCAGATATCTCAGTTATCTCTGAAATATTCGCTATATCATCCGATTCTGATGAATCCCATAATGAATCACATTTCTCATTTGTCGGTTGACTATGATACTGTCCATGTTGTTCATATTGACTATCTGCTTGACTATTATTTCCATTAGTTTGATGGTTATCCTTATTATTTTTATTATTATTAATTATATTACTGAAATCATAAATAGTAGTACTAGTAGTAGTATGCGTATTTTGATCACGTTTTTCTTTACTTTCCAACTGTTGACGTCCTCCGCCTATTGATGATGAATACAACGGAGGTAGACCAGACACTATTGATGAGCCCGATGACGCTGACGAAGTGAATGATGATGTTGACAGTGATGAATTCACCTCGGGTTCTTCATCTCTTTTAATACTTTGACTATACAAAATGATTGTTGGTTGAGGTATTTCTGACTTTTGACATTCCTTTTTATCTTCTTCTTCTCCAACAGTTTTGTTCTTCTCAGCCTCTCTATCGTTGTCCCCTTCTTGTTGTTGACGATACAATCTTGATACTAGAATGCTCCGTGTTTCCGATAAAGCTCGTTGTAGTCTGTCATTACCGCCAGATCTACTATCATAACCATTATTATTACTATTATTATTATTATTATTATTAGTAGTAGTAGTATTGTCTGCAATATCAGAAGTACTGATAAGCCTTCGTCTGTACGGTGAAGCAGACGATGCTGATAATGATTCTGGTGTTGTTGTTGTTCCACCATCTTGATGAATTGGTTCACCTTCATCCTTGATAATTAGTAGAGATGATCTGAACTTTTTGTTAGAAGCATTATTATTATTATTATTGGTCCCTGTGTTCATGGCTCGAAGTAGCCGACCATGTGGAGTATTACTGCTATTATTATTATTATTATTGCTATTATTATTAGTAGTAGTATGATTATATGGACGATAAAGTTGTTTTTCTGACTTAGTTGACATTAATTTCTCATTCCTATGGCCAGCATTTGTACTTTTGACGACACCGATACTACTGATACCGTTGTTGTTAGTAGTATTAGTGACAATGTTAGTATTGATAATTGGTTCCTCAATAATATTATTATTGTTATTATTGCTACAATCACTGATAGTCGCTTGTCGACTATATCCAGATGTGTGAAAACTAAGCGATCGATGGGTATTTCGACGTCTGAGGTCAGCACGTATAAAACTTGTCCGACTGTGCTTGCTGCCACTGTTGCTGCTGCTGCTGCTGTTGGAATTCATCACGGGAGGAGTTCCATTACTGCTACTACTACTACTAATGCTATTGTTGTGTATATTGTTACCATTGCCATTGCTATTGCTACTGCCATTTGTATTACCTTGATTGATAAAAACAAAGACAAAAACGATATATTTAATAGAAGTTTAACCCTGAAAAAATGGGAATTCTGTACAGTTCTGGCGAAAAATTGGCATCAATCAGACAAGTTTAAAATTTGATTCCTTCACGAAACAATATCAGTTAAAAAACCATGCGGCGGCTGTTTCTGCCTAGCCTTGGATTTTTCAGCAGTCTGCAGCCAGTGTCCCCACTCAGCGAGATCGAACACAGGACCTTCAAGATACAGAACCAGTCCCGGTTACCGTTTTTACCAACTTGAGACGAAATTCAATGACTGCTTGCATTCTGTATTAATATAATTTTGTAGTACAGCGTTACGGCTAACTGGTGTCATCGATGGTCATTCACTCTTACATTGTGACATGGTACTACCCATTGGCCATGACTTCTCACTAGAAATATAGACAATCCAACCGGTTACCATTAACGAGAATGGCTTCATTAGATCCTAAGAAGCTTGTGTCTAATTGTTGGTGGTTTCGTGGGTACTCGCCGAAGAAGAGTCTCTAAATGGGATGGAACAGTTGTTGTATTCAGCATGATCCTTAGAACCCCTCATCAAGCTGATAGGTGTCAGTTCTTGAGGAAAGAACATTGCCACCAAGGGAATCTGTTTAGGAGTTCAGCGGTTTTTATTTTCTTACCTCTGTTAATGCTTCACATAGTATGGCTATAATATCACTTGATCTCATTGACCTTAGGAGTGACCAGTGTTCAGGTAATACACCTAACTGACAGCACTCGAGAAAAACGAGAGTTACTAATTTCCAATCCAGTCGCTTTAATAAAAGCCTATTTATTAGGATAAATGATGACATTGGGTCTAAGTCTCGAACAAACCAGTGAGTACTGGAGAGCTAATTCGTCCTAGTTTGAGACTCTTCATCAGTACGCACTCACCAGGCTTCGGACCCAGGACCTTCTAGTTACAAGGCTGGCTAACGAGCTCATAGACCATTAACCTACTCACTGGGAACCGATCCAATGACCAGACAATGAATTCTAACTTCTGCCAATTCATGACATAGCGCAACCGCTATCCAATGTTATCCGTGATGAGTATTTGTCCTCACACCCGACCTGCCGCACCCTACTTGTCGCGACTTGGATCGGGTCCCAGTGTTTCTGAATGATCTACGAGCTCGTCTTGTAACCAGAAGGTCATGGGTTCGAACCCTTGTGGTGGGTGCGTAGTGCCGAAGAGTCCCAAACTAGGAAGGAGGAAACAGCTGCCCAGTACTCCCTGTTGCTGGTTTTCCAATGGTTCTCTAACTGATATCAGCCCATGATGAAATCCTGTAACCAATCAGTCATATCCCTACAAACCAATACTTGAATATCGTGTACACTGTGTTTCAGCTCTATGAACGAAGTCGTACTGTGGTGAGAGCAAGCTGCTAGCCAATTGGTAGACATTGATCTACGCTGATTGGTGGAAATTAATCTGGGCTGATTCAACAACCGATCACAGCTGACCTAGACGTGGACAAATATGATTCGCAGACGAGTGGCTCGCATTTCCGAGAAATATAGGAAACGAGAAAGCAGAAGACTGCGTTTGTTTGCAAACAACCAATCAGAAGACCGCCTTCTTTCTGCGGGCAGAAGCCTATTAATGTACGTAAAATACATATAAATACCTGTTGGTTTTCGTAATAAAACTGATCTGTTGCCTGGCCCTTGTCTTCTGTTGTTACAGTACTGCTGCCTGATTGGCATATAACAGTACTTAGGTGTTTTTTTTAGATGACCAGCACGACATCTATGCTACCTCTCCAACTCTGTGAAGGAAGGGTTTAGAAAATTGTATATCTGGACAAACCATGCAAAGATCCACAGCCAGCGGTAAGATCTTATTATGGAAGCAACTCTAAAAATCACTTCAGCAGAAGCAGCACGTCAATTATCGTGAGTGAGGTGATATCAAAGCAGTACTTGAGAAGAACATTCATCTCACCAACTCTGTAAGTAGTGCTGTTCAATTATACACTGGTCTGAAGAAGCTATAAGGCCGAGACCTGACATCTAACCACTTCTGAGTGCATATATTAATTTGCTTGTCCCTGCGAAGGCAGGTATGTCGATGGTTCGACGCGTATCTTGCCTAAAATGATTCAAGAACACTATCCTGCATGTCTACAGAAGAGTAATAGTGGCTCTATAAGGAATGTGATAATCGAATACCTTGTCAACACTGGTCATTATACCTCAACAAACTCCTTCTTCTAAGTAATCCACTAAGTGAAGACCGATCTGACAAAGGCAACACGACTTCATCTCCTTTGCATCGTTGAAGCTTTAGGCATTCACTTAAAGGAACAGGAGCTATTCATACAAAAGAAAGTCGTTCAAACAATTCCACCTTCATGGTAACAACTTTGTTGACTTGACTTTAGAACTCTTGCATAATTCCATATTTTTCTTCGTTTCTATAAAAGTCATCCTGATTACAACTCATTCGTCATCCAATTATTCATCCTATTACAAAATTATGGTTACATTTGTTCAACTCCCCTTATGCGATTGTTCACCTAGAGAGGAGAATGAATTCACCGAAAACAGACTCTTCTATGAACAACGTGTTATTTTCACCAAGATTATCTTAACGTAATGAATTCATCTCCCTAAAAGTGTTGCTCCTCTTTCTGACTGATATTTGCAGTAAATGAGAGGCAATAGTAATCAATTAGAGTGAAATTAAGTTGCCCTTGGTGAAGACGAAAGTTACTCAACTAACAATAGCCCAAGCCTTGGTAGATGGAGAGAGACTCAAACCTTTGATCCACTGAGTGGAAGTTAATCATCTAGTCCAATCAGTTCAATCCAGTTCCACTGCCTGTTGATTAAAAGGTCGAACAATGTACACCACTGTCAACACTTTACCTAAACTACAGTTAACTAATTCAATCTGTTGAACTTGTGTTATTTGTGGTAAATTAAATGAACTACGTGCTGATGAAGAGTCCCAAACTAGGCTGACGAAACAGCTGTACATTACTCTCAGGTTTTCCAGTGGTTCTTTAACTGATGTCAGATGATGGTGAAATCTTTTATCCAATCACACAAAATCCCTAAAATACCAACCATTACTTGAAAATTGATCTGATGCTCACTGGCGACTGGCCTTATTCAGGTAGCTAGTTACCTGGAGTTCTAGTGGGAAGCTGTGACCAGTAGGGTGCAGCAGGTTGAAGGTGAGGCAGTAACTCATCGAAGAAGACATTGCGAAGTGATCGCACTCTGTCATGAATTGGCAGAAGTTAGAATTCATGGACTGACCACTAGATTGGGTCCCAGTGTTTCTGAATGGTCTACGAGCCAGTGCACCTTGTTAGCAGAAGGTCGTTGGTTCGAACCCTGTCGGCGGGTGCGTACTGATGAAGAGCCCCAAACTGGGACGAAGGAAACAGTTGTCCAGTACTCCCTGGTAGGTTTTCCAGTGGTTTTCTAACTGATATCATCTGATGATGAAATCCTCAAACCAATCAATAAAAACAAAATCCCTACAAAAATCAATACTTGATAATATGAACTTACTAGAGTTAACATCGCTTGTATCGACAAAATTGACAATTTTCAATGTCAGCATATCACGTGTTGATGAGATTAAATCGACAACTTGTGTATGCGGAGAGTCGTAGACATCGATACCATTTATCTTTTGAAAATAAAATGAAATACAAAGGCATGAAATTACAATGGAACAAAGACACTCGCATAACACAATCTATAGCAAATTTCTATTAAACAGAATGATAAAAAACTGTTCATGTTCAGCTTCTAAATTTGTAGATACTGGGCTGATGAAGTTCAGCATATATCGGTGTCGTGGATGGTGTTATACCATAGATGTATTCACAGAAGTGTTACTATTCAATGAGACATTAGATTCCAACAACAGTGGTTTAAAGTCAATATTCTGGAGTTCCTGGTATCAAGTGATTCACGATAGGTTCGTAGGTGTGCACTAATAATGACAACAACTGAAAGGAAACAGCTAATAAAGGCATCCTGACGTTCAGTAGTTCTATAGACATGTCAGCTGGTGAAGAATCCTACCGTGAAATAAATTACACATCCTCAATTTCGGAGTTATGCAATAATCGTTTAGATGAAACAGGCGCTCAGTAACACCAGTTATGAAGTGCCATGAACGTACATAAACCTCATTCAACTGCTACATAGTAATACTGTGCCGACAGAAGACAAGGGACAGGCAACAGATCCTCTGTTTAGAAAATCAAGAGATATTTATGGATTTTTTAGGTACATTATTGTCATCATAGAAAAAACTTTTTCTGACTGTTTGTTTTCTTGCTCAACGTTATGTCTGTACTGCTTGTGACCATTTCTTAGAAAATTAAGCCATGCATGTATCTGCGAATGTTATTTGCATACGTAAAGTGTGCTGTGGTTGGTTGGTGAGTTCCTAAAAGTTAAGTTTTGTTGTTGTTTTTTTTTCTTATGACCCTGATTCGGGACGTTACAGTGACGTAAATTGCTGTCTAAAATTTTGACTTGCAGCCAGCTCTCATCACAGTACCACATGCCAAGTGATTCACAATGTAAAGCTGACTGAAGCCATTTAAAGTCAAGGCAGCAGTAATAAAATATTGTCTGTTATCACTGATGGTCTGAGTGTGGACAATCATTGAGCTAGCTAAAAATAACTGGAGGGAATCGAATGAAACGAAGATGTGCTTCTGGAAGCCTATATACCACTTAGAAGCCAAAGAAATAATAATAATAGTATACCGAATATGAACTAGCTATATAACGCAGAGGATAATGCGACAGACAGCAGGCTTGGCAGCAAGGAAACAGGCATAAAATGGACCTACACAAAAAACTTTGAGCATCTGGATTTCGCCAATGTGATATATATATGTCTGATTCAACACAGACTGGAAGATATGCAAATGATGAAAAGCAACAAATTGGCAGCAGAGGCATCAAAGAAAGATAGGACTTCTGGTGAACATAGAGAAGACGGAGGTGATGAAGATTTTTGGCCAAAAGCAGCAGCTGCAACAACAGACAACAATCAGCATAAATGGGAGAAATCCAAAAGAAGCAACCTTCATTTTACTGGGAAGGCGGATGGAACTGATGGGGATATCAAAGTGAGGATCGGGAAAGCAAGACAAGTTTTCATTACTCTAAAGTCTGTGTGGAGATCAACAGCACTCAGCATGAAAAATAAGATCCCAGTTTTCAATTCCAATGTGAAATCAGTGCTAGTCAATATACGGATCAAAGACGTGGTGCCACGCTGCATCACGAGGGCACTTCGAACACACTACAAACCTTCATCAACAGCTGTCTTCGCTCAATACTACTCAAGATCAGGTGGCCGGCCAGAAGAGATCAGTAACAAGGATCTCTGATAATGAGCGAACCAACCCAGCAGGAACCGACTGTGCAACAAATATGCAGGAAGAAATGGAGGTGAATTGGCCATTAGATATCTGAAAGAATTGTTAAACACTAAGGTGATGTATTATCCAATCTACTGCAATCAGGAAAATCATTGGCGATAGTAGGCAGCCTTGTTTTACTCCTGTCCTCACTTCGAAGGATTCCGTAAGTTTCCCGTTGTGGATTAGGACTTCAGGGGAACATAGAGAAAACTGAGGTGATGAAGATTCCTGGGCAACAACACCAACAGCACCAACAACAACAGACAACAATCAGCATAAATCGGAGGAACCTGAAAGAAATAACCTCTTTTACCTACCTACCTGGGAAGCATCGTTTCAAATACAGGAGGACGGAACTGACGAGGATATCAAAGCAAGGATCGGAAAAGCAAGACAAGCTTTCATTACTCTCAAGTTTGTGTGGAGGTCAACACTCAGCACTCAGCATGAAAAATAAGATCTGGATTTTCAACTCCAATGTGAAGTCAGTCAGTGCTACTTACTATACGGACCAGAGACTTGGCGCGTCATAAAGAGCATCTCAAAGAAACTACAGACCTTCATCGACATCTAGCTGCCTTCGCTCAATACTCAAGATCAGATGGCCGGCCAGAAAAGATCAGCAACAGTGATCTCTGGGAGGGAACCAACACAGCAGGAACCGATTGTGAAACAAATAGGCAGGAAGAAATAGAGATGAATTGGCCATACTCTGAGGAAACCATCAAGTGACATCACTAGACAAGCCATTGTTCGAATGGAACCCGACGGAATGGGAATCGGCGAGTTGGTCGTCAGTGCGAGGGTGCTATAAATTAGGAGGTCATGAAGAGAAGAGGGGATGAAAGTATGTGGGCAGACATGGAGCCAGGTGATGAAAACGTTGGCAGAGAATCGAACGCAATGGAGACGTGCAGCTGAAGCCCTGTGTTCCTCTAGGAATTAAAAGAGGCAATAATAATACTAACACTAGTGATAATCACTAAACTCACCTCAATGAAGTAATCACCTGGCAGTAGTCCTGCTTTTTCAGCTTTACTATCCGGTTGAACACTCATAATACGCTGAGTTGGTAAAACTACAGAGGTATTAAATCTTTCTTTAAAGTCTACAAATATCAAATGAAGAAAAGAAGAAATAAACAGAGAGAGAGAGAGAGGGAGTTAAACCGTTAACTTGAAGTTAGATCATGGATGAGGATAAGTTTGAGAACTTCAAGGGGGGTGTGCTAAAAAGTGCTGCGTAGCTGTTTCATCTTCTTTTGAAGCTCTATAGCAGTACACATGAATAGCTTTACTAGAAATCGATGGGGTGAGCCATTGAGATGGAAACCTTTCTTTCGAACAAGGAAAGTTGCCGCTGAAGATGTTGTGTAGGAGGACAATGAAGGCTTGTAAATAAAAATCTCAGTAGCAATTCTATCTACTTGATTCACATTATTTCACCAGTGGTTGTTTTAGGTGGCTACATAAATTACTGCGCTAAGTAGGTAACAACTTAATAGTAGGTACTTCAACTTAATAGTTTTACTGGGTATTATTCGATTTCATACAACCAATCAGATTAGTTTATATTACCAATCCCCTAGCTTTAATTTATGTTGCATAAATTTATGTATACCTATACTTTAATAAGACACTATTTACCAACTAATGGTATGCGTCTAGTCCTTGGTTTGATGGAGACTGAATTCCATTAGTTATGGCTATGGGCTCACCACTAAGCCCTCTGCTTGCGGATTTCTTTATGTCGAAACTCGAAAACACTTGTCTAAAGAATATGACTGACAACTTTGAACTCTACAAGAGATACGTCGACGACACCTTCATCATCTGCAACAACGAAGAGAATTTAGGAGATATCTTGAAGTTATTCAACAACTGCCACCCTACGATTCAGTTCACACTAGAGAAAGAGTCTAACTCAAAGATATCTTTTCTTGACGTTCAATTAACGAGACGCCAACAAGACGGGACATTAAAAAGATCCATCTACAGAAAGCCAACGTGGAACGGACAGCTCACTAACTTCCACAGTTGGGTACCTCTATATACTAAACGAAACTTAATCCGTTCACTAAGCCACAGAATACGTAGAATTTGCAGCCTGGACGCCATAGAAGATGAAATGAACACTCTTAAGAAAATCCTCCTTGAAAATGGCTATCCAGAAAGATTTATCACAAAATCAATGAAACCCAGACCAGAGAAGCCACCTACACCCAGTGCTCCAAAAAAACTTCTCTATATGAACCTACAGTTCAATGGAGACCAATCTACAGAAATACTGAGAAATCGGCTCTCCCGCTCATTTAAGAAAACCTTCTTTGCAGCTGAATTACGTCTGACGTTCTCCACGAGACCAATGATTCGTATGAACATGAAGGATAAGCTACCGCTGTTGGCCTCATCTATGTGCATCTACCAATTCACCTGCTCGTGTGGACCCAGGTATATCGGCCGTACTCAGCGTTCGCTATCCAAACGCGTCAACGAACATTTACCTTCATGGTTTTATAAAGGAGAAAACCGATGCCCCCACAGCTCGATCCTTGAACATTTATCGACTCTGGACACCAGGTCAAACCAGAAATAAACTTCAAAGTTATCTACAGAATACAAGGCAATCTTGCTAAAAGTGTACGGATCAAACTTCTCCACATCGCAGAAGCAATGGCAATTCATCTGCTAAATCCTGAACTCTGCATACAAAAGAAATTCGTTCATTCATTAAATCTACAATGGACGTAATCTTTCTTAATTTCAGTCTTACTAATTGTATTATTTTGTCTCTTGCATTTTATTATTTCACATCTTCATTTATATTATTCTCTACCCCACCCTTTTGTAATCTCAACCCTCATTAACAATGTTGCTAACTTGACCCACGTCTAATTTCTAGTTAACTATGTTACGTCATCCGATTAACTTACTTATTTTCAACTGTATTATTCTCTAACCCCACCCTTATTTGATTTTAACCACCTCTCATTAACACTGTTGCCAACCTGACCTAATCTGAATTCTACTCACTTAATCAATTCTATTTTATTTTCCATCTTAACGTTTGTTTCCAAGCCAAAAAATACTTATATAACATAATAATCTAAACTTTATAAATCTAATGTACACACACACAAACAAAATTGTATAAATATGCGATTGTACAGTTCGGTGAATGAATTCGCCGAAAAGAGTCTCTTCGCTGAACGCCTTCTTTTCTTTTATTAGTCATCTTCTCAATGTGGCTACCAAATGAAGGACTGAACGCGTGGCACTCGTTTCTGCCTAATGTCCAATCAAACTATCCATTACAGTCCTACACGTGAGGTCAGTCATGAGACTAAATAGCTTAGTCATAAAATTATTAAATGTTGTGTAGCCACTACTACTGATCATCTGTGAATATATAGCAGACTGAATCGATATTAGACGGTTGGAAGCAATCAGCAGGATGCCCATAGGGTCAACGCTTCGTCCCTGCTGGCAAATGTTAGCAAAACGCATTGTTAACCTTGAAAGAATCAACATTCCCCTTCTGAGATTTCAAATCGCATCAACTAGTGAAGCAGTCAGAGATGTCACAATTGAAATATTCTGGTACATCACTGACTTCCTCTGGGACTGCAACGGATCCATGCATTAATTATTCTCTGGTAACTAATGTCATCAATCTGGTCCTTAGTGTTCAGACTGGCTACATTCTATTAGTCTGCGGCTGCGGGTAAGAAGATTTGGTAGAGGGTGTCGGTTTCGTCACAGATACACATTACTGAAAAGCACCGGAAAAAGGGTGACATCTATATCCAGGGATTCCCCGCTGTTTACCTTCAACTATCTAACAAGAAACATCACTAGATAACAATAATTTTAACATTGTTAGCTTGTGAGAAGATTTAATCGGCTAATGGATTAGATTTAATCATCAATCGACACTATCTAGAGAACCAGTGAAAACCACGACAGCTATTTCCTTTTATTTAAGGACTCTGTATCAGTACGCCTCCATGACATCACTAGGAATCGAACTCAGAATCTTTTTTAATATTCTATCACTGAAATGGAATCCAATCGTTCATGATTTTAAACTTCTAATATGTATCTTTTCTGACTGAATAGTTACATAATGGCGATTCCTGGCTATATAGCGTCATTGGTGTGCACTAGTGAAGAGTCTCAAATTAGGACGAAACAGTTTTCCAGTAATCCCTTTGTTGTTTTTTTGTGATTATTTAACTGGTATCATATATATATACGCACATATTTACACAAATATTTCAATAAGCTTACTATCTGTTCCTTGCATAACGAAACCATAACCAGATGTACCACGTTCTAAAGTGACAGAGCGTATACGAATATTGGGATAGTTTTGTCTAAGAAAAAAATTAGATAAATAAAGAAAGTAAACTTCATGTAGTCAGGACAAAAAAAGAGTATTCAATGCTCGCTTTGAAAATACAAATAAATGTTACAGGGGAATTTTCATCGTTGTTATATTGCAGTAAAACAAGGTATGTTGTCTTTTTCATTCCTTTTGCTTTCTAAGTGGAACCCACAAGGCTTCAGAGATGACTATAGTGATGGTGTTGATTTTACAGGATGAGGTTGCTAGCCTCACTTTCCTACCTGCACTTGCGAATGCGCAAGGTTTACGAGTCCGTCAGCCAGAAATCAAAGCCTTGATTATGTGGATGGTTGGTGGGCATACTACCCTTGAGCCGCTGAAGCTATGCCATGTTATCTTACAGAAGACAAGGGCCAGGCAACAGATCGCTTACTTAGGAAATCAACAGATATTTATAGATTTTCATGTACATTATTATAGATTATTGTAAGCAAACAAACACAGTCTTCTGATTGGTGGTTTCTCGTTGAACGTTAATCTTTCATCTCTTTGTGGCTGCTTATTGAAGTTCAGTTTATCTATCTGCAAATTGTATCCGCCTACGCAAACAAAGTGTGCTGTGATTGGTTGTTGAATCAGTCTTTGTTCTTATTTTTCCCATAACCAATATTGGGGACGTAAACATTGACGTAAATTACTGTCTACCAATTTGGCTAGCTGCCAGCTCTCACCAAACTGTAAGCAAAACTGCTAATGAGATTAATGGGTATACAAGGGACGTTTCTTCAATTTTTTTAAGCTTTGAAGTCTCCGGGTCTCTGATTTTACTCTCACTTCCGCAAGACAAAATTGTATACACCAATTGAAGTCAATGTTTACGTCCCGAATCGGGGTCATGAGAAAAAATCAAGAAAAAAGACTAACTCAACAACTACCAATCACAGCAGATTTGGCGTGGGCGGATACGATTAGCAAATATATATATATTTTTACGAAATGACCACGGACTGATATCAGTTAGAGAACCATTGAAAACTAGGGAGTACTGGACAGCTGCTGTTTCATCCTAGTTTGGGAATCATCGGCAGTACGCACCCTCTGGGATGCGAACCCAGGACCTTCCGGTTACAAGGCAATCTCGTGTACCATTCAGCCACTGGAACCCGATTCAGTGGTTCATGAATACAAACTTCTACCAATTCGTGATTTAGCGCGACCCCAACTATTGTCGTTGGTGGGACATCCATACACACACGTGACATCTAATTGGACCTGACTGGTCACGACTTCTCACTAGAACTCCAGGAAACTCCAACCTGTAGCAAGTCACTAGTGAGCATCAGATTTGTAAGGGTTTGTTATATATATATATATATATATATATCAATGGACTGTCTAAGAAAACGCAACAAAGAGATAACAGAATAAACTTCAGTGAGAAAACAATCAATCAGAAGACGTTGCTTCTCTGCTAATAATAACGAATAATAATTTACATAAAAATCTATAAATATCTGTTGCCTGGTCCTTGTCTACTGTCGTTACAACAGTACTAGTTTAGTGTTACGTACGAGAAGGATACTACTGTTCAGACTGGATAACGTCGTCGCAGTTTGATATGAATTGTTATGACTCACACTTATGATGATAATAATGCAGAGTCCAAGGTTATGCACGACAAGGCAATGAGAAACTCATCCAGTGGAACATAAAGCTTCAGCAATACATCTCCATTTCATCCTGTTCTCTGAAGTCCTCTTTAGCCAGCTCAACGATTGCCCATAAGCTTCAGTCTCATTTCCACACGATCTCCTCCATGTCACACTGAGATCCATACCCATCTCATCGTTCCCTATTAGAGTTCCACTCGAGTTCCTGCCTAGCATACAGCAGTGTCACTTAATGTTCTTCTCAGCAGTGTCTCCAAACAATCTTCATTTTCTAACTGGATTTTAGATTTTCCCGTCGATTGATTGGACCAAAGTGCTTGGTCTTAGGTTGACATGTCGGCTTCTTGTGCAGATGCTTCGACGATGTCTGGGCATGTAATTAGAATTTAATTGGTGGATGGTGACTAGCAGTGGAATACAGGATGAGCATCAAAATTCAAGGATCAGAGTTTGAATCCTTATGTTCGAATCGGAAAACAGGCGATTAGAAAAAGTATAAAAATAATGCATACAATTTTTTTTGCATTCATAATAACAATAAAAACAATAATGATTACCTCAACTGATTGATCTTCCTGAGATTCAGTGGGACACCTTCAAAAAAACCGAAATAATAGCAGGTAGGGGAAAAAGAAAAAAAAAGCGAAAAGATACACAAATTAAAATGTTTCAATGTTTCAATGAAATGGTGACACTAAACTAGAACAGCCTAAAACTAAACTACCCAATGACCGGATGAATGACCTTGAGCAACCAATCAGGTGCAATTATAGATGCTGTTGACCAATTACGTTGCAGATACTATCCAGACCTATTATTTAATTACTGTTTGGAAAACAGGCCCACAGGAAGGCCGAAAACGTGTAGATGTGGAGGTGGGATTCATTTTCAAAGGTACACCTGTTGCATTAATTCATTTATCTACAGATGTGAAAAATTCCGAAGCGGGAAATTACTTCGAGAAGGTAGACCATTGTTTTTTTAGCTTATAGATGCCGTCAAAGTTTCCTTTAAAGAAAATTATCAGGATATGTGACAACGGCGTTCTGAAGAGACCAGTTACAACGACAACATATGAAACAGAGAATTCAAAAGTGTCTGCAGTGCAGTGGTATCAGCACTGCGGAGATATAGCGTCACTGGAAATGAACAATATGATGGAAATACTTGTTGGTATCGATGTTGTGGTTCATGTGGATGAGGCGGTGCTTACATGAAAGGGAATATAATCGAAGTAGATGGAGTGGGAATCATTAGTGGGTGTTGGGATTATATGACACCGCCCTGAGCGAAGGATATGTCCAGACGATTCCTGATTGTAGTGCCGATGTTTTATTGCCTATTATCCAAAGTTCAGTTCTGCTTGGCACAAGAATTCACACAGACCAATGGAGCAGCTATAGCCAGCTGTCATACCTGGACTATATATTCACAACAAAGTTAATCATACCAACGATTTCGTTAATCTTTTCGATGGAAATTCCATAAATTCCATCAAAGGTTTCTGGAGTCACCTAAAAAAGAGGATCACAGCGGTGAACGCTTTAAGAAACGTGATGATTTATAGTTATCGCGACCTAACTATGAGAACTCGTCTATGAGAAAATGGAAGGTTTTCTTGGAACATGGTAAAGAACGTTACCCTATGTAATTATTTTTTAACATTGCATTACTTTTATTTAAATGTTTTTTTCAGATTATGCGCTTTTGCTTCGGGTGCATCTGATTGGTCGACAGAGATTTGTCAAGGTCATTCGTCCATTCATTATGTGGTTTCATTTTGGACTGCTATAGTTTAGAGTCACCAATGAAATAATGATTAAAGTAAAATCGAAACAAAAATATATTTTAAGGTGAGTTTCTCTGATAAACTTAGATAACCAAATAACAACACGGGACGAATATCAGGTGAGTTGAACTCTTTCGACTGTCTAACCTGAAATTTACTACAATCAGCTTAAAGAAGAAGATTCGGATTTTCACCACTATGTCTATAGGTGTGAGACTTGATATGTGTCCAAAAGCTTTTCAAACAGGCTGCAGACATCTGTCAGCAGTTACCTTCCTTCCGTACTAAAGATCAGACGACCAGAAATGACTGGCAACAGAAAATTGTGTCAGTAGACGAACAAAGCAGCTATAACCCAAAAGATCTACTAAAGGAAATGGAGATGAATAACTCGACATACCCTGAGAAGATCACTGAGTGACATTGCACCCTAATGGGAAACAATGAATTGGGCGTCATCTCGAGGGTGAGATGGAGGAGACGGTGTGAGGATCAGACGAGAGCCTAGGGAGAATCGCTATTTTATTTATTATTTTATTCCTTTGCGTTCCCACCGGAATATAGGTCTTCAAGCTAGAGTTTTGAAGTTCCCTTAGCAGTGGTCTCATTTTTACTGGGTGGGATTGCTAGTCTTGCGCTCAGCCTTCCCTCTTTGCTGGCCTTATTATTACCTAAGAGAGGTTTGGCAGTGAGTCGGCCGAGGATCGAACCCCGGACATCCTGAGTGGCTGACGAACATTCTACCTCTGTGCCAACGTACAGCGCAGTCGTACAATAAGCTTGTAGTAAGAGCTGACTGCAAGCCAAAATTGTAGACAACAATTTACATCAATGTTCACTTCCTGAATCGGGCTCATAAGAAAAATAAACAATAACATAGCTTAACCTTGAGGAACTCAACAACTAATCACAGCAAACTTTACGTGTGCAAATGCAATTCGCAGAAAAATGGTTCAACTTTCTAAGAAACGGTCACAGGCAGTACAGAATAAACTTCGGCAAGAAAATAACCAATCAGAAGACGTTGCTTTTCTGCTAACAATAACGCTAATAATAATAATATATATAAAAATCTATAAATATCTGTTGATTTTCTCAATAGACGTTCTGTTGCTTGACCCTAGTCTTCTATCGTTACAAGCTAATGAAGACTACAGAGGACAGGAGGATACAGAGGTGTGCTATCGCAGGTATATTTTCCATTCAAAACTAAAGGGTGTGAAACAACATTTAAGCTTATAAGCATAAGACTTGGGCACTGTGGTAGAGTGTAACTCCATTATGGATAAGATTTTATTTTGATAAATAACACAGTGTTGTACAGTTATATTAACTGATGACGTTTCAAGCACAAATTATTGCCACTCATAATCATATCAAGTTACTCACACAACTTTTTTTCCTTCATTTATATATATGTATGGAATTGACTAGATATTTGAATAAAAATCAATATGAGATAAAGTACATTCAGAGATAATAATATGAGTGTTATTGATCAAATACAATTAGATGGAAAATAAGACGAATGTTCTTATAGTTATAATAAGTAATTTGTTAGAATGTTGTGATTTGCTTGAATTGAAATAGAATTTTGAGATTATTTATTATCCTCTTCTGATTTGACTGGTGGTAATAATATGAGTGTTGTTGATCAATTACAATCAGATGGGAAATAAGACGAGTGTTTTTTAGCTTGTCCTAACACACATTTTAGAAGTGTTTGACTGCCAGCATCCATAACCAATACTCTCTCATCATTATTCTCATTTGTGCGTCGGTGGCATAGCGGTTAGGACGCTCGGCGACCATGCACATTGTCCGGGGTTCGATCCCCTGCCACAGACGCACTCCTTTACCTCTCTAAGCCAGTAATAAAGTTGGTAAAGAGGGAAGGTTGGGCATGAGGCTAGCAACCCCATCCTGTAAAATAACAAACACTGCTACAGAAACTTCAGGCCTGTAGCTTGAAACCCTATGTTCCACTGGGAACGTTAAGGAATAAAAAAAATTATTCTCACTCACTCAATCAATCAATCAACCAGTGTCTAAATCATTCAGTGGCTCACCTAACTGCTCACTTATTGACTAAACCACTCAGCCACTTGCTTATCCACCTACTCAATCCTTGTGTGCTTATAAATAATGCATATTATACATCCTCAAAATTTTACAATGAATCCGATTAAGTATCATCACTTACCGACTGAATTACTACGGGAATAAATGATCTGTCCACAGCGATTATTATTACCATTACCATTATTATTACTATTATTATTATTTACTGTCGATGCTTTGATAGGCAGCAGTGGTTTAACTGAACCGGATGACTGAACATCGCTATTCTTTCCAGTGAGTGTTAATCTACCATTGAGTATCGGTGAGGCTTGTTTTCTAAGACTTTCTGGATCAAAGGATAAACATCGACGATAATTCACTTCAGGTAGTTTTCCATCAATTGATACAGATTTACGCAGTTTACTTAGACTATTCATCATCATCATGTTAGTAGTATTGACATTGTTGGCAAAATTTAAATATTCGAAAACAGCCCGTGGTCCATGAATTGTTGGTCGTCTGTCTTTGTTATATACTGGTGTTTTGCCTACACCTTCTATAGTATTAAAAAAAAATCAATAATTGAACTGATAGCTAAGATAAGTAGGTGTACATTGAATGCATAAGAAATTAGCTTATTACAAGAACCAATATTAATAAGAGAAGAATCAGTGAAGATCAGAAAGTACTGGACATCCATTTCGTCCTAAAGTAGGGCTCTTCAACAGTACACTCTTCTCATCCTACCGGGAATCGAATCAAAGACCTTCATACTACGAGGCGAACCTACTGATCAGTTAGGAAAACACTTGTATTTGCATTATTCAGATATGGTTGCATTCTTTGGGCAAGGCGACTTCACTGAAAAGCACTGATTGGCCTTCCAGATGACGTCTTAAGAGCATAATTCAGTACAATGCTGAGTACGTCTCTATTTGCATTTGCACTATACTAGGCAAAGTGGGATGTTCCCTTCAACGTAATCGTCAAATGACTGTGGACATGTGAAAATCATAAACAATGGAGATACTGATAATGCTTAAGGATTCCTACTTGGCTGGTATGGGGACTAGTCTTCACCCCACAGACATGTTGAGGAATGAATCATATAAGAAGAAAGTGAAATACAAGATTATTGAAACAATCGATATAAATGCATATTAACTCAAAGTTATAAATGGTTCTGAAGACAAGACTGATGTCATTAGAAGGGACAGAGACATTGTCACTGCAGAATTCCAGCATAATCACTTCACACTCAAGTTAAGGCTGAAGATATCTCAGCCCAAGGAATGCAGTCATGTCATGCTGTGAATATTCCCTGTTATTTTAGAAAATAATGTCACAGACTTAACGTCAGTGGATTCTTTTTCACTGTTTCCGTACCTTACTCTACCTAGAGAGGTTTGGACAGACAGATGGTAGGTTGTATCTCTAAAATTTACATAATAAGTGTGCCTGTTTATCAACTGCATGGAATTGGAAGTGATTACTGACCATCAGTTAATTATCGCTTCAGCTGAAATATTTTATATATGTTGACATCTAAAAAAGCTGTTGAAACCAAGAATCGATGTCTTGAATTCAACCCTTCTACTGTCTTTAAAATATTTTTCTATGAAAGTTTATTGTCTTATAGTTATGCCTGAATGGTCAGTGAGGACTAACAAGCAAGTTGAATTCTCTGTGATGTGAAAAGTTCCCTTGTGGAGTAAACTTTCTGTGCTAATCAATGCTGCATTCTCCTTCTACTATACAGTAAATTGAAGGCGATTTTCAACTACATCTTCAGCCGCTACAGAGATTTTTCCAAATGACCTTGAACTACCAATCATAGTAAGGCAATATTATGATTGGTGAATTTGTTGACTAAAAGTTAATGCTTTCATGGCATTCATTGATTAGTGATATGATTGGTTGCTTCAAGGTGATTTTAAAGATTCTAAGGTCGAGTTATTATTTGGTAGTGTCTGCTATAATCTAATTTGATATAATTCAAATTTATTTAAGAAGGTTTATCCATAGGAAACCCACATGGAACGGTCAACTGACAAGCTTCTCCAGCTGGGTACCAAACAGTTGAAAAAGAAACCTAATTAGATCTCTTTCTACTCGCATCCAACGCATCTGCAGCTTTGATACTCTGGAAGAAGAGCCACACTTCCTGAAAGAAATCTACATACGAAACGGATATCCACCAAGATCCATAGATAAGAACATCAGACAGAAAATCCAAAAGCAAGAGACACCATCCGTGCCAAGGAAGACACTTTATATGAACCTCGACTTCAAAGGTAACCTACTCAGTGATGTCGTTAAGAGGTGAACTTTTTTTGCGGCAACGTTGAGAGTAGTGTTTTCCAGTAGCCCGATGATCTGCAGAAGCCCAAAGGACATCTCGCACATGACCACTTTTATGTGTATATATCAGGTCACCTGGTGCTGTGGAGCCAGGTATATCAGTCGTATGTTCGACGCGCATCCTGTCAAAAAGGGTCAAAGCACACTATCCAGCGTGGCTACAGAAAAGAAGTAGTGGCCGTATAAAGAGTGCAACAATCGAACATCTTGTCACCACTGGTCATTCCATCTCAACAAACACTTCCTTCAGAGTGATCTATAAAGTGAAGAACAACCTGCCAAAAACAACACGTTTCCGTCTTCTTTGCGTTGCAGAAGCCTTAGCCACTCAGTTAGAAGAACCAGAACTATGCACACAAAGAAAATTATTCAGCCACTTCTATTATCATGGTAACAACCCTGTTGATTTGACTTAACTTTTGCTTTTTTGTTTGTTTTCCTAATTACTGAAAACTCTTACGTAATTCCGTATGTTAGTTTGCTTCCATGTTCACCCTGAGCACAACCCTTTCATCAAACTATCCGTATTGTTACGTAACTCTTCTTTAACAATCGTTTGTAACAACTCATCGCTTTTATTACTACCCTCTTATATCAACATCCAATTCCTCTGGACGCTTTCTGTATTAGGTAACTCCACCGAAAACTTACTAATTGTATTTTCGTTTGATAAATTTTATGTACACACTCATACAAAGTAACCATATGCATTTGTGATTGTACAGCTGTGAAAGTGAATTCGTCGAAAAAAGAGACTCATCACTGAACTACTACTGGTGTTCTCTTAATTAATGTTAGAATGGCAATTTTTCAAGAATGAATTCAAATTCAAAAAAGGCGGTTAATTTCTGTATAAAATGGTAACTGATGAATTTAAACAAACCAGTGAACAAATATGAAAAGTTTATCGAAGAACCTTTTATGAGTGAATTCATTTCCCTAAGCTGTACAATGGCATTTATATACAATTCTTTTCATGAAATAGGGTAGTTACTGAAGTGATAAGTTGTCATAATCATATATGTTAATGTTAATCAGTATATTATAAGAGGAGTTAAGTAATGAAGTATATAATTTAACGGATGAGTTGTAACAACGATTTAACTAAAGAGAAACCAACGAGAATGTGACATTACATAAGGGTTCAAAACTAACATAAGAGTTAAATTGAGTTAAAGAACAAATGAACAAAATCAAGCTGGTAGAAAATGAAGAAGTTGTTACCATAGTAGTAGAAGTGGTTGAATAATTCTAAAAATAACTAGAGCTTCAGCAATACAAAGGAGGTGAAAGCGTGTTATACCCGCTGGATGCTATTCATATTGTAAAGAAATTTGAGGAGGGAAGTTCTCGACATAGAATCTCCAATACGGAGGAAGTATTCGTTTGTTGCACTCCTTATAGAGCTATAACTAGCTCTCTACAACAGTGGAGGATAGTGTTCTTCAAACCTTTTATTTTTATTTTATTTTTGATTACAGCTTGATTCCACACTGTACTTTTTGGTACAGGTATGGAACTTTCAGCATGTGATATCGGTAGCCCAAATTTTGCAGGCTAACCGTAGATATCAGGTGTGCGTCGTCAGGGGATCGAACTTGGGAACATGTGCATGGTCGGTGAGAGTCATAACCGCTGTGTTACCGACGCACATGATCTGCGTCGACTGAACAACATACTAAGCTCCACAAAAACAGGTGAACAGATATATGCACAAAGAGTTTTGGTCAAATATGGAATCTTTTCTTTCAGACTTCTGCAGATAAGTGGAATACTTAAGAACAATCCACTCAAAGTTGCTGCAGAGAATATTCTTCTCAAAGATGTTGCAAATTTTCTCTTCAGGACATCACAGGCTTAGTCTCCTTTGAAATCCGGGTTCACATACAATTTTTTCTTTCCACAAGGAGTATTTTATTTAACCGAACTTTGTGGTTTGATGTTTTTGTCAATGAATCTCAGTGAGTACTTTTGTTTGATGAAGAGTTCCAAAAGAAGGTCTAATTCTTTCTTCTTCTTCTTCTTCTAGAGAATCACGGCTACAGACACACTGGATGTTAGCGATACCTAACTGAGTCATAATCTACGCCTAAGGGTTTTATAGAAACGTCACCGCAGCTTACCACCTCTTCGATGTGAATTTATTTATCGTAATTGAAAATGCAGAGATGAGAAGTCAACAACCAACAGATAAACAAACAAACCAGTACCCCCTGGTGGTTTTCAATGGTTCTCTAACTGATATCAATCCGTGGTCAAACTTGTAAAAATAAATCTAATTCTTGAAAAAAACGAATAAAAGTCGCAATTTACCTATTTGTTTTTCATCGAAATTTTGTAAAATCAAAGCCAAGTGCATTCGTTCAATAAGTACAGCTAATTCATACGGTGTTTGACCAGATGAATTCACAATTGTCGGTGATGCACCACAACGTAGTAATAACTTTAAGCATTCAGGTTCATCAGCTAATACACATAAATGTATCGGTGTATTGTGATTTTCTACTTGAGCGTTTAAATCAGCGCCATAAATGATCAATTGTTCCAATGTTCCACTTCGACCATTTAAACAAGCCTTAGTTTTAAAGAAAACAAAAATTATGCAGATAAAATAAGGAGAACGGGGGTAAGGATAAACAGTGCGCGGACATATCTGATGGCTATTACATTCATGAAGGCACTTACTGTCATAATTAAATATATATACGCAGATTGCCTATTCCAGCTGCATTCATCAAAGAACTAATTGCAAGCTGTATTCAGCAGACTTTACTCTGATTCTAATTGACGGGTGATGGTGTTGATTCTGACATTGGAAATATTTATATTACTTGGTTGACGGTATTTAGCAGTGGAATATAGGATAGGGCATTCCGTCATATTAGGGATTCGTCACCTGCATATGCCTGTATTCTTGCTTTCCTCATAGCGACTCGAACACACCACTCATTGCTATTTGCTTGGCTACTGTGGTTTTGAAACACTAATTATTGAACTGACGCCTCAGTGAATACATCTTCAGTCATTTAGTAATGCAAGTACATCCGGTTCACGAGTCCGAAATAGGAAGAAACAGGAATCATGCATTCTACTGATAGTCATCATCAGTCTAAACAATATAGTGTCAACTTTCAGACATCATTCAAGCTGATTTACCGACAGAGATTGAACACTTCAGCTTAACACGTTCAGTTGATAGGAATTCCAAAGTAAATTTATTGAGGAATAGTTAGAGCGAAATTAAAACGTGAGATAGTATTGCTGAATGCTAGGACACTGTCTTATGTAATATCTATACAGAAGTGAGGAAATACCTGGATTTAGGCGTAATGATACCGAGGAGGAGTGGTAAAAACTGTCATGGAGTGAACAAATACAAAATCTGTTTTTGGCTTGGTTTATACCGGTCCCATGTGTAACTTCATTAGATCCAGATATGATGGAGAAGAATTGTAACTCAGGTGGATGATTTTGATTTAGCTGTGTTCTCTGAGCTGGATAGTTAATCTGCGAAGCTTTCATTGCCCTACTAGGCAACATCTTCAGCGCATACACTTCAATTTGAATTGAAGTGAGCTTTTAGATTTCTCCGTGAGTTCATTAGTTATCTCTCCTGGTGTGTGACCTTGAACGTGATTCGTTGTTCTTGTGTTCTAGAAAAGTTTTAGAAGTCTGGTATTCCAGTGAATCGCCAATCAACAAATGCATCGAGATACGCAAAATTTAACAACCAATAAGAAGGAAATCTCATACACGAAGAGTCAAATTTCAAGTCAGGGAAACAATCAACAATAATACCAATACAAGTAGCCTAGAGGGTGTGAAAACACACAAAATTCAGTCACGTTCAAGGCCACTCACCAGGAGAGATAACTAATGAACTCACGGAGAAATCTAAAAGCTCACTTCAATTCAAATTGAAGTGTATGCGCTGAAGATGTTGCCTAGTAGGGCAATGAAAGCTTCGCAGATTAACTATCCAGCTCAGAGAACACAGCTAAATCAAAATCATCCACCTGAGTTACAATTCTTCTCCATCATATCTGGATCTAATGAAGTTACACATGGGACCGGTATAAACCAAGCCAAAAACAGATTTTGTATTTGTTCACTTCATGATAGTGTTCATCCCTCATCTTTGGTAGCATAACGCAACCAAAACCACATAAAAATTCATTAGTTCTCTTGCTACTGGCATTCAGTGTACGTGCCTCCCTGATACTGCCGAAACTATTAGAGAAATGTACTAATATTAAATTGACATCCTCCTAGTTTCATAGATGTACACATCAAGCTGAAAACCTAAGGAGAATGAATTATCTTTTGCTTCAATGAAAATGATTTAAATGAATTTCGATTTCAAAGATGACTTATTGGCGACCGACGTCCATAAATGAAGGATCTCAAACCTTTTGATCACAAGGTTAATTATCACAATCTGTCGGTCAGATACTGTGTAAGTTCTATGAATTGCTATTAGATATCTGAAAGAATTGTAAAACACTAAGGCGATGTATAATCCAATCTTCTGCAATCAGGAAAATCACTGGCGATAGTAGGCAGCCTTGTTTTACTCCTGTCCTCACTTTGAAGGATTCCGTAAGTTTCCCGTTGTGGATTAGGACTTCAGGGGAACATAGAGAAAACTGAGGTGATGAAAATTCCTGGGCAACACCATCAACAGCAACAACAACAACAGACAACAATCAGCATAAATGAGAGGAACCTGAAAGAAACAACCTCCTTTACCTACCTACCGACCTGGAAAGCATCGTTTCAACTACAGGAGGACGGAACTGACGAGGATATCAAAGCGAGAATCGGGAAAGCAAGACAAGCTTTCACTACTCTCAAGTCTGTGTGGAGGTCAGCAGCACTCAGCATCAAAAATAAGATCCGAATTTTCAACTCCAATGTGAAGTGAGTGCTACTATACGGATCAGAGACTTGACCGGCGCGTCATAAAGAGCATCTCAAACAAACTACAGACCTTCATCAACAGTTGTCTTCGCTCAATACTCAAGACCAGATGGCGAGTCAGAAAAGATCAGCAACAGAGATCTCTGGGAGCGAGCCAAACAGAAGCCGATTGTGAAAAAAATATGCAGAAGGAAATGGACATGGATTGGCCATACTCTGAGTAAACCAGCAAGTGACATCACTAGACAAGCCATTGCTCGAGTGGAACCCGAAAGGGAAGCGACGAGTTGGTCTTCCAAGGGTGACTTGGAGGAGATCATGTGAAGAGGAGATGAAAGCATGTGGGCAGACCTGGAGCCAGGTGAAAACTCTAGCAGAGAACCGAACGCAATGGAGACGCACGGCTGAAGCCCTATGTTCCTCTAGGAATTAAAGGAAACAATAATAATAATAGGCGATGTATTAGCAATCCTGAAGATACTCATTGTCCTTTAATTGATTTGGATCACTGATCCAAACGATTGATTTGAGTTGCAAATGTCCTTTTTAGGTGATGAAGACTGAACTGAGCAGAAGACTGAACTTCCAGGACTTCATGCTGACTGATCCGTACCAGCATTTAATACCAGTGGACAGTACATATAGATGAAATATTTTTTTCGCGTTGCTAAGCGCTCAGTATACACATTACATAATCATAGTTGACAGGGGATAACTTAATTGATGAGATAAGTTCAACCTAGGTATACCCTTTGAGATGATCTTTGCTCCAAATGAAAGTGACTACCGTCACTTCATTTTAATCGACCTACGAGCATTCCTACCGTTTTTCGTGTTTTACTTTTAACTACTCATATTAATCAGTAGTATACGGCTTCTAGTTATAAATTTCTATTGCAATCTCAATATGACTCATCCATTCGTACTAAGATTGATAAAAATGTTTTATTTATTTATCCAGATGCTTAATTTTAAAGAAAAGCAGAGAATACTGATAGGAAGTGACTCAAATTTCACATTCTGTGCAAATGTAGATCAATTTTCATTGCAGATTTCGCTACGAAATGAAATCAATTAGAGAAGCACTGAAAATATTGGGGAAAAGTTGTTTCATTCTAGTTTTGAGATCTTCAATATCTCAGTACTCTCATCAGGGATCAAATTCAGAACCAGTCAGTCACTGACGGGGTTGCGATACATAGTAATAACGACCGATATTATCACCGGAGAGTATCTGTCTTTACACTGAACTTGGTGAACCCAGTTGATCATAACTGCTTACTAGAACTTCTGGCTGTTCCATCCTGTATTGAGTGAGTCGCTAGCAGGTATGGATCAGCTTTCAACTGTTGGTTTTTAGAAATTTGGTTGGTTTAGTTGGGTAATGGGATTCCTTCCTAGTGGCTAAGTGGTTGCCTACGGGCTGTCCTCCTAATTTCGAGGCTCTGGAATCGATTCCTGATGGTGGATTCATGGGTCAGTACTGATGAGGAGTCCTAAACAAGGCCGAAACAACTGACAAGTACTCCCTCGTGGTTTTTAATGATTCTCTAACTGAAGTCAATTCGTGATTAAAATTGACTGTTATTTACTAGCCGAAATGGGAACTACAGCGACTGAGTAGCAGAATCTGGTTCTGTGACTATTGCTCTTTGTATTGGTCAGTGTTCTTCCAGACAGCTGAGTATGTTTTTGAAGTCCACTTTAAAATTTAGCAGTCAACGCTAACCTCAGTGCTCAAAAGATTGTTTGAAAGTGAATATGGCATCCACTTTATCTTTGAAAGAATATTAGCTTTAAAATAACAGTGGGCAGAGTAATGAAATGGGGGACCGGGGTGGGTTAAAGTTTAGTCAAAAGTGAAGCCTGTATCATTAACCAGTCAGTGGTTAATCAATATAAATTCATTTTGAAAAAGTGCAACCATTCCCCCCTCCCCCTTATCCTTGTGTCAAATGGTACCAACCAGGGAAAAAATCAATTTCCAGAGGGCTGGGCATTTGTTAACTTACCTGATGAATTTCTTGTCTACCCTTATCGTCTGTTACACCGAGAATTGCATGATCAAACAGCAGCCGTTTAATGCAATCAGGATGAATATCTTCAGAACAGGCATAATACAACGGCGTGAGACCTTGATTATCACGTACATTGGGATTTTGTCCAAGTTCTAGAAAAACCTGAAGAAAGCATTTAAAAAAAATAAAAGATGATTAAATCCAAAAGAAGGAAGCTAGAGTGAGGAGGACAGGTGCACACATTTCTTTTTGATTGTTAAATCCAAAATAATACGGGTGAATTTTCAAGTATTGGTTTCGTAGGGAGGAGGATTTCATTATGAGCTGACATTAGTTAGAGAGCCATTAGAAAGCCAGCTGGGAATACTGGACAGCTGTTTCGTCCGCCTAGTTTGGGACTCTTCAGCAGTGTGCATCCACCGCTGGGGTTTGAACTCAAGACCTTGTGGTTACAAGTCGCTGGGTAAGTACTGATGAAGAGCCCCAAACTAGGCTGATGAAACAGTTGTCCATTACTCCCTGCAGGTTTTCCAGTGGTTCTGTAACTGATGTTAGCTCATGATGAAACCCTTCAACAAATATGGGTGAGTCTTCAATTGTATTACAATTCTGGCATCTTACTTCAAGTTTGGATGCCAAAGTCAGGGTCGTAAAGACATGACAAACGCCCTGACTAATTTGAAATCAAAGCGGAAATCTCCAGCACTCAGCATGAGTAACAAGATAGAGACTTACAATGCTAATGTCAACTCACATCAATCAACAACGCAGCGAATAAAGAAATGATTGAGTGGGCTAGGAAGTAGGTTAGAGAGATCTTAGATCAATACACCAGATAACCACGTCGCTAGCCTAGAAGAGATCAACATGGTCAGAAACAATGGAATATGGTTAGAAGAACCTGACTGTCAAAGAGGAGAATCGAAGGAAGTAGTGGGCTAATCACCTTAAAGACTCCTGAACCAATGACAGAGAAGAATAAAACAACACTATGAACTGACCCTTGACTGGACTATCACCTGCAACTAGTCCGAATATATCACCAGTGGCCATACACCGGACAGTGACAAAGACTTTATCACTGACAGTGTTTGTTATATAGTAATATTAAATGATGAACACGTTTCAAGCATAACTTATCGCTGATCATAATCATATCAAGGCAATCACTCACACAAATTTCTTGCTTCATTTATATACACGAGTGGAATTGATGATTAGACATTTGAATAAAAATCAACATAGGATGATGTCCATTCAGAAATAATAATATGAGTGTTATTGATCAAATACAATTAGATGGGAAATAAGACGAGTGTTTTTTACAGTAAAAATAAGTAACTTGTTAGAATGTTGTGATGTGCTTGAATTGAAATAGAATTTTGAGATTATTTGTTATCTTCCTCTGATTCCACTGACTGGTGGTAATAATATATTCCACATTTCTGGTATTGCGTTGAGTCATTTCTGTTGCATGTGTTGGGTGTAGATCCACTCGATGAGCCGGGATTCAGTAATCAATATCTCTCTACACCTACTTATATCACTCTTATTGTGTGATTGTGTGTTAATGCATGTAGTGCAATGTAGTGCTGAGCTTTTTTCTAAATTACTTATTCTCTCGGGGTCAACCATTCTTACCTTAGCTAAGTTCTTATGTTCTGATAACCTCCCTATTCCTCATCTACTAGTTTGACCTATGTAGTTTACTTAACTCGCAGTCATTGCAAGGTATTTTGTAAATTATATCATTTTGTCTAATTGGGTCAAACTAAAGGGTCCTTCAGCCTACAGAACTTGTCCTACCTGAGTGAGTTTGTACGTTTGAATGCCACCCTAATTCCTGCTATTTCGAGAATCCTTCGTAGGGATGGTTTCAGATTTCCCCTCATTATATGGCATAACAGTACATGCCTTGTATTCCCTCTTATTTATGTTATCATTACTAGTTTCACAATTATTTTTATTTTGCTTTTGGCCTTTTCTGACCTTCCTAATGAATTTTATAAGACAGTTATTTGACACCAACGCTTCTTCTTCTATCTGTTTTATTTCATCATTTAAGTCTTTTCTTGTACTACTTGGTGCAACTGCTCGGTTTGTTAGACACTCAACTAAGCCTGCTTTCACAGACAGTTAACAAGTGAGATAAATTGAAGTCTAAATATCAATTAGAATGAGTTGGCTTTTTATAAACGCTAGTGTGCAGTTTACCTTCTTCTATTCGTTTTATTTTACAATCCAACACTATAGTTAATTCTCCTTGTCCATTTTCTGATTCAAATGTGAATTTTATTCCTTTTACTAGTGAGTTTATATGTGTCAAGAAGCTAGAGATATGTTGTGTTTTCAAAACTGTGTGTGAAAGTGTCATCCACATATCTCCACCATATTTTTGGAATAGGATTAAATGTATTTAGAGCAATATTTTCCCAGCTGTCCATACAGATATGTGCTACAAAAGGAGGGTTATTGGTGATCCATTCCATTGCTACACCTTCTGTTTGTCTGTATATTTTGCCCTGGGATTTAAATATAGTAGATTGAGGCACAACTCACTTCCTAAAATAATTTCCTTAATAGGCAGCTTCGTCTTATAAGTGAGTTCAGGGTCTCCAGTTAGTTCTTTTCTAACTGCTTCTAAGGCTGCCATATCGATTGGTATATTAGTATAAAGACTAGTTTTATCAAAACTAACCATTGTTTCATCATTCTCTAGTTGAATGTCAGTCAGTTTATTTTTCATCTCATATGAATTAGTTAGTCTAGAGTTTGGACGATTTCAAAAGGGGTATTAATGAAATCTACTAACGACGTTATGGGGTAACCTGGCTTATGTATTTTAATAGTACCATACATTCTACTAGCATTATTAGTTTCAGGCATTAAATTAAACCATTTAGACTCACTCAGTGACAGTTTCATTCTGCGTATTAATTCCGCTGTAAATTTCTTAACCTTATTCATTATTGTATCCACAGGCTTCTTAATTTCTTTATATGGACCCGTTTCAATATGTTCAGTGACTTTCTTGATTTAGTCAGATTTCTTCAAAACTACTGTAGCGTTTCCTTTGTCAGCTTTTGAGATGACCATGTTTTTATCATCTTGAAAATTGATTAGAGTCAATTTTCTCGATTTCGTTAAGTTTGACTGTGTTTTCTTTTGTTTCTTAACAGTTAATGCACATTTAATTCAAACCTCTTCTAACGAGGTACTTAGTTTGACTATAAAAACACTCGTCTTATTTCCCATCTGATTGCATTTGATCAATAACACTCATATTACTATCTCTGAATGCACATTATCACATATTGATTTTAATTCAAATGTCTAATCATCAGTTTTTACTCATGTATATAAATGAAGCAAGAAAGTTGTCATATCAGTGACTTGATATAATTATGATCAGCGATAGTTTGTGCTTGAAACGTGTTCATCAGTTAATATTACTGTATAACAAACACTGTGTGATTTCATCAATATAAAATCTTATCCATAATGCAGTTCTCAGACTTGGAGTAAGCATCACCAGAACCATCATCCAACAGATCACAATTCTTCAAATTGCTGAATAAAATCTAAATTCCTTTCTTCACAGCTTTATTCACCGAAGAAGTCGTAAGCTAGGCAAAAACTTTTCACAGTACTAATTAAATGATATCACTATCTAATTAATTTTGGCAATCCAGTATCTCCTCTGTTTGGCGTGAGTGAAATCATAAAAAAGGGATATCATAAAATAATTTACGATCTAACTAAAAGACACGCATATATATATATATACACACACACTAAAAGCTCACATATCCACATCAATTTTTTTATGACCATGTCAAATAATCTGTCAATTATACATATATGCATATTTTAGCGGTGAAAAAATCTTCCACCATTCCTATAAAATTTTACTGAAACTTGATCATTGTTTAAATGTGAAGAAAAAAGAACCGCGCATTTCAAAAATTCCAACTTTGCCTAATTTAATTTTTTGTTCATGTGAATTATGCGAAGAAAGTAGCTGGAAGATACTGACTGATGCACTAGTATATTTAAATAAAACTGAAGTTAAGTGAGAGAAAAATCAATATATCGATTGAATTTGAAATTATTTGTGATGAAATATGTAGTAGACTATTAATACTGATTGACTTGAAAGAAAATATCCCGTCATCATTCGATTGTTAACGTAGATATCTAGAAACACTTTTTTATGAAGCTAGTGTTCTTTTAAATAAATTATGCTGAGTTTGTGATGCCAATTCTAATTAATGACACGTGTGTTTTGAGGTGTGAAATTCAATTATTCTTTCTTGAGTGTGTGTATGACTTCTTTATATGATTTAATATTAATCCACTAATTAGTAAGTCAATCAAATCTGGAATTCTACAAATTACACAATTTAAAAGTGAGAAATCATCAGAGTTTCCTTTGAAAACTTAAATTTATTTAGATTACAAAATGTGATTTTTATTTATTTATGTGAATGAAATATTCCCATATTGAATCATAAGAAAAAGGTACAAACAGAGAAGAAAATTTTGGCCACTTCAATGTGTATTTATCAATTTACTTGCTCCTGTGGAGCAAAGTATATCGGCCGTACACAACGTCAAGTCCACAAGCGTATTCTGGAACACTGCCCAGGTTGGTTAGCCAGAGGAGAAAGAAGAATAGCAACAACTCGATACTCGAACACCTTGTCATCTCCGGACATCGAGCACCCCCACTCCGTATGAATGCTTCACAGTGCTACACAAGGTCCCTCAATATCGTACAAAGGGACTTCGGATACGCCATCTGTACATAGCTGAAGCATTAGCTATTCGAGATCTGAAACCGGACCTCTGCATTCAAAAGCGATACATACATTCTCTTGCCCTACCATGGCCAGAGTAAAGTTCTTACTACAATTTTGCTTCTTTCCTTTATTATGTAAGTTCACTATTATTATTATTATCATTATTATTCCCATCATCCACATTTTATTACCACTCTATTACTGTTTATTAATAACATTGCTTTTTCATGCAGATTTTATACAAAAACACTTCATAGTCTTTCCACTAGTTCCTGTCCATTTTACACGAGCTTATTGATTAGTCATTATCTCACACTTATTACGTCATGCCAACTTCTGTCTCCTTTCTAACTTACAAAT